CCCCCCCCCCCCCCCGACCTACTTAGCACCGTGTTGCAGGTTCCAGAAATAGGAGCTAGTCGGATCAGGCGTCCATTTTCACTCACATTGCTTCATTTTTTGGATTTACTCCATTAGTAAAAGCTGGAAGTGAAGGGTCCCGACTTGAATATAGTAGACTGACGCGCGCGCAATGTCTTCGAAGCGGTCGCGTTGTCATATTCCGTCTGTGTCCGCGCTTCGGCAGGTTCCTTCACCATGCCTCTCATCAAAGTCTATTCCATTCTAGTCCACCCTGTGTATGCAATCTGTACACAATACCTTCTAGCGTCAATCAATACATAGTAGGTGATTGCTATGGGAGCTCCGCGTATGGGAGCGCTATTCGGGCATCACCACTAATCGATAAGCGATCCTGGTGGGCGCTTACCTTTACATTTTCCAATTGATCTTCGTCGTCGATTTTTCTTTTCTGTTGTATTACCCTATTAGTAACTATTTAAACTTTTGCTTGTGTTTCATAGAAAATGCTCCTGAAGAGTTGGTCGGTGATTACTTTCTGTCCGTCAACATGAATTTTATGCCTTGATCACTGTGGTTTTTGACGAAGTCCTACGTGAATCTAAATCGTGAATCTAAGTTCGTGTTCGTGTCAGTCGTCAGTTACTTATCTTCAAACTTTCTGTATAAAAACAGACCACTGAGGAAATGTTTGCGAGACGTTCCAACGCTATTCGCCTAGGACCCAAGTGCCACTTCTGGTTAGTTGTTCAGTATATCACAATTTTTATTATATTTTATATATTATGCACTATGTTGATTACTTAAAGCTTCCTGTCATTTCAGTGGCAAGGCCGTGGCCTCACGAAGTCTTTTCTTCTGTTTCGAATGTCTTCCGATGGTAATCGACTTTGCCGATGTTGTCATGAGCGATGCTCTCTCCCGTAGGGGAGCCCAACGGCTTTGTAGCAGATGTCATGTATGTTTTCCATGACCTTTACTTGAAGAACGGGAAGAAAAAAAAGGAAAATTAAAGCGAGTGATCACTTAGCATAGGTCTCTAGTATTCTAGAAGTTAATATTTGGTCGAGTCAAAGTGTATTCAACTTTAGGCCGTTCTGAAAGCTCGTCTCGTCCCGAAGCTCGTTACAAGCTGCATTCGATTGTTTCGTTCTGACTTCAAGAGAGGAAGACGGTTTGTTAACTTGGAATGCTTCATAAGGGGTAGCTTTTTTGCATGCTTCAAGAATCGAAAACTTCTCTAAGACCAAAGAAATTAGGTTGTATAATCACATCGCATAATGTCTGTGACCAGTCAGCTATCTAGGAATGTCCAAGCTACATCTCTTCAAGTTCTTGGCGTGTCCGCTCGTGCAATAGGCAGTAATGATTCATTCACCTGTACTGTTCATCATGCTACTCCAAACCTTTGTAAAAGCAGACGGTTCCACTAGAACCGAGTTGAATTCAGAATCGAGGGACAGTTTCCTCTTAGAGCCTGCAATCGCGGTATAGTTATGAATGTCCATAGCGTACAGCTGACTACAGTAAGCTGCCTGCGTGCAATGTATTCGTCCCGTAGCGAATGGTGCTTCCCCGAGTATGGGTACATCGACTTGTCCAGGCGGGGTTGCATGCCGTAAATCGTGCGGCAGAATGCAGTTGAGGGTGGGCGATTCTGCTGCCATTTCTGCTCAGGCGTCTTCTTAAGGTGTTAAAGTATAAGTAGCATTCCGTTTCCATGACAAGGAATACTCCATGTCCGTTGGATCATACCTCTTTTATTTCTTTTTGTGCAGTGTCATTTCACTTCTGTTACTATTTTACAAACCCTGGTAGCCACGTGTTGAAAGCGGACATTTGCTCAGTGAATTCCGAACAGAATGTTTACTCGCCTCCCAGCTATGACTACCACTAGGTACAAGATATGACAAAAGCTTAGATGAGATTATTTTGGTGTTTTTATTTTCTTCCACTACGATTTCAAGATGACATTACGGTACCGCTAAGTGTCAGTGGAGCGAGTGATTTGTTTGAGTACGTGTTTTCTTCTCTTTCTAATGGTTGTTGTGGATAAATCGCATGCACCCACCGAAATCTGCGGCGTCTGTCAAAAATCGCGGGCTGACGCGCCGCGGGCGACAGCTGCGGCGTGACCGACGGATGCGCGAGACGAAGCGCATCACTTTATAAAGCTTACTGTTTTGCTTGTATAACATCGTCTGAGTTCTGTGAGGAAATTCGAAGACAATCCAAAATTTTTTCTTGATTTCTTGACTCCATTTTCGCTTTGTGAAGGTGCGTAGAAACGAGAATTTGGGAGGGCCTCGTGTAGTTCAGTACAAATCCTAGTTCTACGACCTGTTTAAGAACTGTTCCCTATATTACCGGTAATTCACTTATCATGCTAAAGGGCGTGGGCCATTTTTACTCACCAGAAAAGTACCTGATCAAGACGGGACTTGTACTGGACGTAATAATCCGATTCACCTTGGTCGTACTCCAAGCTAACAATTTCTTTTCTCACGCGAACTCTGTTTACGTCTCCTATAAATTTAATCCAGTTTCAAGGCTGTATGATTTTCAGTTATTTCAAGTCGAGTCCAGTCGTATGGGAGTTCCTAACTGGGAGATGAGAGTCAGAATAGGGAGGTAGGCGTGATGGTGCTAGTAGTAGTTCATTGCCTTTGATCACGCTCTGATTATACTATGTTCTTTATATCAGCTAGAAACCCCCTGTCTGAAGCCAGGTACAATAGTGGTTGGAGAACGTCCAGAAGGTGGCTCCTTTTCCCCACTCTATAATCCACTTCTACTGGTAAAGTTCTTGAAGCACGCAGAAACGATGAAAACTGTAAATCCTTCGGAATTTTATCATCTATATTTTCTGCAATTCCTTTTTTTTTTCAAGAAGGCCGTGACACATCGTCCACTACGGTGCCGATGAGTGCTATTGTGAGTGTTATGGAGATTTTGGTGGAAGAGGTAAGTTCAATTTTCTGTCTTTTATACTTCTTGTGTATCAATGACGTCCGTCTCTAGGGCGACACTGACGAAGAAGTCGAAAAAAAGATTGGAAGGTGTAGGCATTTGGCTATGGTCGGAGAAGAACGCGACAATGTGACTGGAAGAAATGCTTCCGAAAAGGATGGAGAGCAAGGAGAAAAAAAGGTGCTAGAAAATGTTGCCTGTAAGGATGGCGAGGAAGACGAAGAGGTTGGAGAAAATGTTCTCGCCAAGGATGGAGAAGGAGACAGAGAAGAGACCGCATCTGAAGCATCGGAGGAGGAAGGAAAAGAAAGCGAAAAAGTTACCGCAGGGGATGTTTTCGCTATGGATTTGGAGGAAGACGGGGAAGTGAACGGAGAGGAGGCTCTCGCCATGGATGAAGAAGTAGGCAAAAAAGAAGTAGAAAATGTTGCCGATAAGAATGGAGATGCCAGGGAAGCCGAGGATGGAGAAGAATTCGAAAATGTGATTGCGAATAACGTTTCCGCCATGGATGGAGAAGAAAACGGAGAGCAGGAGGAAGAGGAGGTTTTCGCCAGAGATGAAGAAGAAGTAGTAACAGAGGTTGTGGAAGATGTGTTCGCCAATTCAGCAGAAGAAGTACGTGGGAAAGCTCCCACAGAGAGTGCTTTTGCTAAGGATGGTGGAGAAGGCGAAAAAGGGAACGTAGATGCAGTTCTTGCCAAGGATGGAGAGGAAGTCAAAGAGGAGAATGGAGATAAAGTTCCTACCAAGGATGGAAATGATGACGAAAAAGCTAATGCAGAGAATGTTGCAAAGGATGGAGGAGACGGAGAGGAGAATGGAGATGAAGTTCTTGCTAAGGATGGAGGAGATGGTGAAAAAACGACCGCAGAAAATGTCGTTGAGGATTGTGGAGAAGGCGAAGAAGAGATCACCGAATATGCTCCCATCAAGGAAGGAAAGGAAGGCGAAAAAGGGATGGGTGATTATATTTTTGTTAAGGATGAAAACGAAGCCGAGGGAGCTACCGGAGAGCATATTTTCGAGGATGAAGAAGACGATGAAAATATGATGGGAGATTATGTTCTCGGTAAGGATATGCTTAGAGAATGTTGGAAAGCTACTAAAGATAATGTTTCCTTTAAGAACAATTGCGAGATGAATCCGAATGCTAAGGAGAAC